ACATATCCAGGGTCACTATGAATCGGAACCAACTTGATGGCACTTCACCACCACCACCACCATGGCTCCAGAAAGTCTGTAGACCATGAAAATGTGAAATTAGTTTCTACATTTCTCCTCCTCCCCTGTTTTGATCAGGATACCTCTATAAACTTCTTGATGAAAATGTTCAATAGTAGCTGGGCACCATCTAGTTCTTCTGGTCTCATGGAGCTTATTAGCCACACATCCATTGTTCTTAAAGTGCCTTCAAATCAGTTCAAACTCAGCAGTGTTGTATAGGGTTTCCAAGGATCAGCTGGTGAGTTTGGACTGCCAACCTTACAGTTCAAACCAACCTTTCAGTAGAGTGCTTATCCTACAGTGCCACACCAGGACTCTTCTTCCTGTTCCTGACTCTTGTTCTTTCTCTGTTGCTCCAGTAAGTAGAGTCCAATTATTGTGTCTTGGATGGTCATTTGCAAGCCTTTGAGACCCCACCTTGTTTCCCCTTATATGGATGTTGTTGTTAGGTGCCATCGAGTCAGTTCCAACTTAGAGCGACTTCATACACAACAAAACACTGCCGGTCCTACACCAGTGTCACAATCGTTTGGCTTGAGCCCATTGCTGCTGCCACTGTGTCAGTCCATATGCTTGAGTGTCTTCCTCTTTTTCGCTGACCTTCCACTTTACCCAGTATAATGACTGGTCCCTCCTGATAATATGTCCAACTATAAGACAAAGTCTTGCCATTCTGGCTTCTAAGGAAAATTCTGGCTGCATTTCTTCTAACGTAGATTTTTTGTTCTTCTGGCAGTCCACGGTACTTTTAATATTCTTCTCCAGTACCGTAAATTAAAAGCATCAATTCGTCTATGGTCTTCCTTATTTACTGTCCAACTTTCACATGCATGTGAGACTCCTGAAAATACCATGACTTGGGTCAGGTACATCTTAGTCCTAAAATTGACATCTTTGCTCTTGAACACTTTAAAAAGATCTTGTGCAGCAGATTTGCCTAATCCAATACGTCCTTTGATTTCTTGACTGCTGCTTCCATGAGTGTTAATGGTAGATCTAAGCAGAATGAAGCCTTTGACAACTTTAATCTTTTCTCCATTTATCATGATTTTTTTATTGCTTCACATTGAGGTGCAACCCATATGTAAAGAAAGCTCTTTCTGTGTCCCCTGGGTCTAAAAGGACTCCAAGTCCAGAGAAAGCACTGTGCTCCCATCTCTTCTTAGCAGTAGTGAGGTACCCCCCTCTGCTCTGGCAATGGCCTTTGATCATCATCAGTAAGTATTTTAAACCCTCTTTGCTTTCAGCAAGCAAGGTTGCATCATCTGCATATCACAGGTTGTTAATGAGTCTTTCTCCAGTCCTGATGTCATATGTAACGCATGGCTGGCTAGCCATTCTCACACTGATGGACACTTCCCTGGTGCCCCTTCCCTACTATTTGAGGCATTGGTGCTGTGAATACTCTTGTACAGGAGTGTGCATATTTCTCTAGGAGAAGAACATAAAAGTAAAATTGCTGGACCAACTGCATGTGTGTGTGTTTCTGATTTTGACAGATATGACCTATGTTTGGTTAAGATGGTATGTTTGTCTATTATAACCAAGACCCCAAAATAATAGCAACTTAAAGTAAAATGTATGTTTACTTCTTGTAAAAATGACATGGGGACCAGTTAGAAGCAGTGACATCAGAGATGGAGGCAGAGATAACAAGGAGAGAGAGAGAGAGAGTACCTGAGGACTCTAGAGACACATGGAAAGAGAAAGACTGTGTTCTGGTGGCCAGTAGGCTGGCTTGCAGAATGTGCCCTTTGGTTGTTGAAATGATTTTATATTTCTGAGTGTTTTTGTGTACATCAAAAAAAAAAAACGGAATAGAAGCCAATACTGTTAAATGATGATGCACGGAGAGGATTATAATCATTGCAATGAAACAAAATAGGATACAATGAGTGCAAAACCAGTGTTCTCCCATGTAAACGATCACTCAATTCACAATAAAAGCTTTTTTTTTTAATTTTTTCACTCTATGGAGTATAGTTTTACTCTGACACACATAGGATCAATTAGAAAGCAACTGGTTTGGTTGGTTTGCTTATTTTTGTCCCTCTCCAGGGTTCTCTGCCGAGGAAGGAAGGACCCAGCCACCACCAAAGAAGGCCGGTTACCCAACAACGCACGCGCGAGACCCGGGCCCACTGCAGCTGGCCTAATCAGGGCCTGCGTGCGTTGGCCGTCACGTTGCTAGCCAAGGAGCTCAAGCAATGTCGAGGGGGGTTTGGAAGGGAAGATGCATAGCGCACGAACGGAAAAACGGGCTTCCGTTATCCGCAAGCTGAGGGTCAGAGTCCAGGGAGGAAACCGGAAGTCAGGCCCAAGGGAACTGGGAGGGCCTCGCTAAGCGTGAGGCTGGCGGGAAGATAGGCCTGTTGCACTACGTGTTCCGTGAGCCTCCGCGACGTGGCTGGGCAGGGCTGGGCTGCTAGCGACGCACAGAGGCGGAGCTCAGTAAGAGCGTTATTTCCCGGTTTGGAAAACAAAAATCCTCACCACTGGACCAATAAACAGCATTCTTATCAATGGAGAAGAGATTGAAGTTGTCAAGGACTTCATTCTTGGATTTGGCCTTCAGAAAAAGGGAAAAAAAGTGACATGGGGCGTCAGAAGTCCACTAACTTCATGAGGGGGGAATCAGCATCAGATCAAGGCTGATTCCTATGAGGCAGAGGTCAGCCATACCTCCTGTCTCCAACCTTTACAGTTCTGATACCAGCCGTCCCTCCCACAGCACTGGACTTCTCTGCTTGTTTCATAAGTCATCGCAGTGGCCACACAGAACTCAAAGACAATACTCATGATTTATCGAGTTATCAGCAATGTGTTGTTATTTAGTGTCACAGGTTATAAACCAGGATCAAGAGTAACTCAGGATACAGTTCTTCAATCAGAACAACTTCTCGTCAGCTGTGCGCGGAGGCTGACTTCTCTCTGGCCCTTAGTCCTTCAGCCCTGCCTGTGCCCCATTTGGGCAAATAGTACAAAGCTTATTAACTTTGTCAATAAGTGCTTCAACCTGAAGGTACTCAGTTCTATAGCCCCACAGTCCTCAAATGTGGCTCTGCCCAGAGACACCCCACTCCACCAGGAAGCTCTCTCTTCCTGTATGTTGGCACTCTCACAGTAGCTGCCTCACTCCATGGGCCAGGAAGCTTACTGTGCCATCTCACATGCCAGTCTCCAGTGTCCCTGCTCTCCTCTGTGTCCCCTGGGTCTAAAAAGACTCCAAGTCCAAAGGAAGCTCCCTTTTCTTCTGGGTGGTAGGGAGGTACCCTGCTGTGGGATTGGCTATCTTTTAAAAACCTTGTGGGATTGCAGAATTGGCTAATCCCTTCCATATATCTTATTTGCATTATTAGCAGGCCATCCAGTCCCCTTGGTGGGCCACCAGCCGTTGACTTGCATAGTCCCACTCAATCATACAAAATCGTGAAGGCGGGCTAGAAAGGTCATAGAATGTAGTCCATTGTCCCACAGCTGTCTTCAGTCACCAGTCTGGGTATGAGCAGGCTCCCAGTAGCAGGCACTTCGATTTCTCCTGTCTTGTCATTCCTGTCATGTCTGCTGACATCCCATTGGCTCACGTCACAACTTAGTCATATCATAATGTGGAAGATGTGCCCTGGGCAGCTTCGTGCTCAGCTGAACTTTGATTATTAAAGAAAGAAATGCCATTGCTCAGACCAGCTGCGAGTTTTAAAAAGTAATCATAGCATGTAGGTGGGCCACTGGTACACTGTGCATTACCTATTCACATCACTTTGCCTTTTTTCCTTAACATGAATATGAGGGGGCTTTGTCTTTTATAAGCAATAAAAATATGTTCTCATATTCAGTTTCTTTTACCTTTTTGTTTTGTTTTCTTGACATCCTGAGATTTCAAAATTGTATGTAGTCAAGCCTGTCAGTCTCTCTATGGCTTCTGTGTTGTATGTCTTGCTACTATTACTCAGAAAATTAAGAATACCCAGTTCAGAAAAAGAAACAGAGAAACAACCTGAAGTAGCAGCAATGGAATGAGTAAATTACGGAGATAACCTACATTCTCACATTTCCTTTTGGCTCTGGTAGCCACTTCAATAGATGATCCTTGCAGCACTGTGTGAGGGAACAAAGTCTAGTGGACCTGGGCTCTGAAAGTGAATTAGGATTTAGATACGGGGAAGAGAAAGGAGAAGGTAGGTGTCCAGGCGAAAGGAACAGTATAAGATAAACTGGGGGCACAGGTAAAGGTGGCTGAAGTGGACCGCATGGGACAGAGTGTGCACGCTGGGAACCACCGGAGATACGCTGGACAGGGCAGCTGAGGACAGTGTTTGGAGAATAGAACAGAGGATAAAGTGGTTACAAGTGAACATCAGGATTAGAAGAAAGAAATCAAGTGTAAAAAGGTATGCCCTGCAGTCTTACCACTAAAGATGGAAGCAGTTAAGTACCTAACAAAAAGGAAACGGTTGAGTAAATTAAAGCATAGCCACATGATGGAATACTAACATCGAGAAGTGTCGTTTTTGGAGGCTGTGTGGAAAAACTTGGAAATTAGAGTGAAAAAAGATGATTAAAAAGCATATAAAATCGTAATTATGATTACAACTATTTAAAGAAATATGCATATGGGGAAAAAAGAAATACTTCAAAATTAAGAGATGCATTTGGACCAGTGATTATTTTTTTCTCTTAAAAATCTTTATTGTTTTCATTTTCTGTAATATTTTTAAAGGCAGGTGTTAGTAGATTGGAAATCAGCAGAGGCCTTTTAAGGCTTCCTGAAGGTGACCTAGGGGATGAGGGCTGTGTGCTGCTTGGAAGGCGAGAGGTCAGGTCTGCCCGTTGGGATGTGTGAGCCAGGAGGAAAGACTCCATTCCAGGCTTTGGTCTCTAGTACTGGCCCTTTGGTCTTAGTCCAGGGATGATAAAAGTCCTTTTTTGTTTTCCAGGGTCTCCTCATGCTGCTACAGAACCTACCTACGATACACTGGGGCAACGAAGAGATTGGGCTGCTTCTTGCGGAGGCATACAGACTCAAGTACATGTTTGCCGATGCTCCCAATCACTACCGCCGATAGGTGCTGTCTCCCCATATGGACCCAGACTGCCCCCATCTCTGATGGCAATCTGATCACTGTGGCCACTGTGCGAGCTGTGGACCCCGGCCGGAACCACTCCTGCTGTAAAAAGCTCACACCCGTCGCCCAGGTCTTAACTTTCGGCGTGCCTGTCCACCACTCCATGTTTGTGGGTGTGTCTCTTGGACCACTATCAGTATTCCGTGCCATGTGGATGGGCCCAGGTCTGGGAGAAAACAGAAAAGGAGGTACAGGGTCATCTGCCCCTCTAAAAGAAACTGGATAAAAGAAGGGGAAGGCTCAGGGTCTCTCAACTCACATTCTTCCTACATGGACTGGCTTTCACCTCCCAGACCCAACTGATGTCCTTGTTCCTTGTGACGTAGTTTAATTTGATCGCAGGTCAGAAACGCCGTCTGTTTAAGGCTCCTGGCCCTTCTCTCTCCCTGCTCTCCTGGCCCTTCCCATTGCACCCTGACTGAGCCAGTGAGGGCAGGTTTTCAAGACAATTGCTCTCAGGTGGAAGAGGCACCAATGGTCATCACTCTGGGAAGAGGCAGACACCCAAGGGCTAGGAGTGTTATTTTTTCTTTTCTCACCAGATGTCTGTGTGTGCATGTCTGTGTGCATGTGTCTACATGTGCACATACCCGCCTATCAGCATTTAAGTATGTGTTTGAATGTCTCTGACCAGACTGGCCCCATAAAATCCATTTGGGAAGGGTCCTAGGGACCAGGTGTCCAAGCTTCCTTAAGAAGGATCAGGGTAGAGGAGGGAGGAGAGGTGGTTTTACCTCTCCAAACCCTCCTTCTATGATGACCCACTCCAAGACATTATGTGTAAATTGTGTTATTATGTATATGGGTAAAGATGTACAAATATATGTCCTCTTTGTAGCAGATATGATTTTATATTTATAATGTGCATCAACATGTGAAAGCAATCTAGGTCACTAGCACAGTTGAAGTTGCCAGGCCAGCAGCTTCAGCGACTCCAGGTTGCTGGGAGGGGAGTGAGCAGAGTCTGCTGGCGTCAGTAAGGCTGAGCAGATGGAGCTGCTCTTACAGCCTGTGGCAGCCATCCAAGCATCAATGTCTCAGAGTTTTCCTCCCATCCCCTTTCTTTCCACTCCTCCTTCGGCCTTTCTGCTTCCTTCCCTCTAAAGCAGAAAAGGCAGGGAGACCGAGCTCTCTCTAACACTCCTAACAGCCTCTCAGAGGGGGACTGCCCAGGCAGAAGCCCTTTCTGCATGTTTTCAGCCTCTGCCTTTTCCCAGACTCTGGAGAGGGCTTTTGTTTCTACATATTTTTTAAGTCAGCATCTTTTTAAGGGCACAAGCTGTGACTGACAAGTCAGTGCCAAGGAAAGCAGTTTCCCTGGTGTCCCTTGGTTTTGGGGGCTCTTCTCAGAGGCCTTCTGTGTCCCCCACACTGTCACCATCACACCCTGCACAGTTCATGAGACCTGTGTTCAGTTTTTGCTGTTCGGTAGTGGGGAAGTGGGGGCAGGGGGCGGCAAGCAGCTGTCATCCTCTTGGAAAACCAAGCAGGATCCCCAGTGGAGTGACCTTGAGCCTCATTGCCAGTGAAGCCCCACCATGCCAGGATGTGTTACGTTTCTCATCCGGAGCTGTTTCTCAGGCATTCTTCCTCACCCTTTCTTTTCCCCTTCCGTGTGCCTCAATAGTTTCCTTCACAGAGGGAGAGGACTGGTGACCCTCCCTCAACCGGACTAACTAAAGAAAGACACTTGTGTTCCCAAGTGGTGGTTTTATTTTTTTAGTTTTTATGTTTGTATGAGAAATTGTGGCTTAAGTGAAAGAATTGTAAATAAATAGTGTATTTCCTCCGCTATCTGCTGGCTTTTGGGGGTTTTTTTCTCCCATGAATGTGTATAACCTGAAACCTAAGGAGTCTCTTTCTTGAGTTTCTCTTAACTGGTTAATACCAGTAAGTCTAATAAATATGGGGGACAAGTCTTCTGTAGAGTAAGCAGAGGATCAATGAAAAGCATTCTCAGAGTATCTCAGCAACTGTTTACTGAGCATCTGCTATGTGAAAGGTACTGTGGAGCCTTCTGCAAAGATGAAGGACATGGTTGCCAGTAGCTGATGTTTATGGAGCACCTTACCAAGCACTGCAGTACGCACCTTACATGGATGATTTCAGCTACCCAAAGGGAGTGTGTAATGTAATGAACGCTAGAAAATGGGCAAGAACTTCAATGCTGGACAAAAGCCTGGAGATACCTAGCTCTGCACTCTCAGTCTCCACGGCCAGAGTCTGAGCTAGAATACAGGCACACCTCTTGGCTTGCCAACCTGGTGTTTTTTCCACCTAGCCATAAAGAACTCAAATGTGTTTAAAGACTGGCTTTGCATTAGGGTCATCATTATGTTTTTTTGATGGTGGTGGCTATTATTGGTTGGTTTTTCTCTTGGCAACTGTCTTAGTGCTCCTGTCACCAAAATGCCACAGGTGGGTGGCTTTCACCAGCAGAACTGTATACTTTCTCACAGTTGAGGAGAAGGAAAGCCTGATTTCAGAATGCCGACTTTCAGGAAAGCCTTTCTCTGGGGGAAGTCCTTGATTATTTCTAGCTTCTGTTCCTCTGCTCCATGTCAGTCTTCACGTAGCATTCATCTGCCCTTCTGCTTGTGCTTCCTGCTCTGTGCCTAAGCTGCTCTTTTCTCAGAGGTGATTAGCTTATAACACCCTATAACCAAACAAAGAAAACCTCTATTCCTAAATACGATTACATCCACAGATACAGAACTTAAAGATTTGCAACACATTTTTTTTTGGGGGGGGGGGCGGACATAATTCAATCCATGACAGAAAACTTACTCTGAAATATTGACTAATTAGAATGGTTTTCCCATTTACTAATTCCTTTTTAGAATTCCTCTGAGAGTGTTTCTTGACTTGAGTCATTAAGAACAATCTAAGGATTGCCTGGTGTGATGCTGTAGGATAAGCACTGGACTGCAAAACAAGGTCACTGGTGCAAACCCGCCAACCACTCCTTGGAAACTCTTTACAGCAAGGGTCAGGGGAACCTTTTTTCTGTCATTTGGATATTTATAACATCATTTGTGGGCTATACAAAACTTTCCACTTAAAAATTAGCTATATTTGCTCAAACATTTAATTAACCCTAGTGTGAAGCTGGATCTGCGGTTGCCTTAGCAGGACCAGATCAAATAATTTTGTCCATCCATCCTCCCCACCCTCTCATCGCTTCACAGGGTCACTATGAATCAGAACACAATCAATGGCACTTAACAAGAACAAGGATTAAATTCAGCTGAGAGTAAAATAAAACAACAGTGGCTTACACAATGTGTCTGCTAACCTGAAGATCAGCATTTCAAACCTATCAGTTGCTGCACAGGAGAAAGGTGAGACTGTCTGCTTCTATTAAGATTTAGTCTTGAAAACACTATATAGGGTTGCTATGAGTCAAAATCAACTCAATGGCAGTGGGATTTGATTTTGGTATACAATTTGGAAGGATCCCTCTTGGTGCAAAGGTTAAAGTGCTCAGCTGTCAAGCAAAAAGTTGGTGATTCAAGCCAGCTGCTCCACAGGAAAAAGATGTGGCAGTGTGTTCCATGAAAAGTACAGCCTTGGAAACCCTAGGGCCAGTTCTGCTGTGTCCTGTAGGATCCCTGTGAGTTGGAATCTGTTCAAAGGCAGCAGGTTTTTGGATCCACATGGAAATTGACTTCTTCCTCACATAAAAATGAAAATCCAGCGCTGGTAGGGTGACTTTTTCACAAAGTCCTTTGGACCCTGGACGTCTTCTTTATGTCTTCACGACCCAGGATGGCAGCCAGTACTCCAGCTATTGTATTCAATTCCCAAGGAGCAGGACAGATTAAGGAAGGGAAAATGTAGTTGAAAGTGTGTATATTTATGTTCTGCTATGGATGTTCTTAACAACAACATTTTTTTTTTAAAGAAGAGAATGAAGGAAACATGCCAATAGTGTTTTAAGAAAGGTTCCAGAAGCTGCCTCCCAACACTTCGCTTCCAACTTATTGGCCAAAATTTAGTCCTATGGAAGGAGATGGGGATAAGACGCTTGTGGCACAATAGTGAATAATTGCTATCAGGACTGACTGTGCGGGTCGGAAATGTAAAGGTAGATGTTTTGTACCAAAAGGAGGAGAGTGATTGATTTTGTGATCCAGGAGCAGAGGTCCCTGGGACCATCAAATGAGAAGAGTAGAGTGCCTGGGCCCTACCCAGAGAAACAGTGATGCCAGAAATGGAGGCAGAGACAATGAAGTGGACAGATGGAGCAGCTGGGGACACTGAACTCAGGGAGGGAGAGGGGTTGTGTGCTGATGGCTGGGAGGGGGGTGGGAAGCCTGTGGGGTGTACCCTTTGGTAGTTTGATGATGCATGAAGGGATTGTAATCATTGCAATGAAACGAAATATAATAGGATGAATGTAAAACTGATGTCCTCCCATGTAAACCCACATAATTCACAATAAAAACTTTAAAAAATTTTTTTGTCCTATGGTTGTTCATATCTAGTTGTAACGGAGGCTGGTGGACATAGTCTATTCCGGCAGCTACCCACCTGGCTAAGCATCAGAATTCTATTAATGTGGAAGAAGGAAGGAACGGATCTTAGGATTCTAGTAGTAATATCTACCATAAAAACCTTTGAAAATAGAGATCAGACTTTCCCAAAGGCATTCAGAGGGAAATCTGACTTCAGAATGCAGTGACTCTTCACAATAAGTTTTGGAATTGAATCTTTGTCATAAAGCACTGATAGTATTTCTACTTGATATAATTTGGGCTGTGGCCATTAACTGCTACTGAGGCTGGTAGAAAAAAGAACTAATCTGAACTGTTCTACATTTTAAAAATCAGGTTTTCATTCCTACAGGAAGCCAAGCATTTTCTGAAAGATGTTTGATCATGGCTAGAGAATTAATGAAATCTTTGAAATGAATCCTGGCATACTCTGACCTGCAGTTTATCCAATGTTTCCGCAATCTGCATTTTTACAGTTCTGCTTACATAGGCCTTACCTTTGTTTTCATTCATCGATGAAGGGATAGTGGCACAGATTCCTCAAATAGTGGCCTCATTTGCTTCCAAAAGCAAGAGCCTCTTGTTGACAGCATTTGGCTTGTTGTAGAGTTTGCGTGTCAAATGGCTTTGTAAAGCTTTTGAGGATTGGAGACAGAAACTAAGCCCCCAGTAACTGAACCTTTCATACCTCTCTCCCTGGGACTTCCAACCTCTGACTTCTTGGACACCACTTTGAAAGCTACAAGAAGCCCATTTTAAATATAAAGACATAGATTAAAGGACTCAGAGGAGGTGATTTTAGACCCACGATGAAATTCACACAGAATCAGAACATAAAAGCACATTGCCATGAAACCAGAATCATCCAACCTGTGCCAGGTTACCAGGGTATCTGCAGCATACTTACAGCTATGCCAAATCAAAGAAGCCCTTGACGAAAAGCATCCCCTTATTTTGGCAAAGGCTGAATTCAAATTCTTGGAAGTAAGGAAAAACTCTGTCAGTTTGGTAGTTTCTGCTGGTAGTTTGTGAACTGTGGCTTCTGGGAGTAAGTGTGACAGTCCCCGCCTGAATGAGAGCTGTAATGAGGAATCTGGGAGCCAGCCATGGGACTCCACTTTCTTTGTCACTACTTTTGCTTGTCTCAACAGTGACCCCACTTATTCATTGCAAGTACCTTTTTTCAAGTAAAGTGTTACAATGAAGGATACAAAGACCTGGAGTTAGAAAACCACAGGGGAAGAACAGACTGCACATTTTTCAAACTGAAAGAACTAAAGAAAAAATGCAAGTCTTGGCTTGTAATATTGAAGTATTCCATGAACAAAGTATTGTATAAAGCAGGAAACATCAAAAGAAGATGGAAGGATTACAAGAGTCACTGTACCAAAAATAATTGGTTGACATTCAGCCATTTCAGGAAGTAGCAAATGATCAAGAACTGAT